CTGGGACCAATGGTTTCGGAGCTTGTAGGTGGAACTCGTCAACTAGCAAAGCCAAGGGAAGTTGATTGCGTGGATTCGGAGATTGATCGTCATCATTTTCATCTGGATATCGTTGTTTTAGCTGGTTGGTGTGTGCTCGAATCAAGCGTCCATGTTCGAGCAAGACAGTGTAGTTCACTTTGCCCTTGCACTCGATTATCTGTCCTGGTTTCCAATCGATTGTGTTGCGACGATGGACCTGAGCGTATACCAAATCATCCGGATCGAATTATTTCTTCACTGCGCCATACCGTCTGTTGAATTCAGCGTTCTGCTTCTTGTTCTCCAAGGTTGGACTCTGAACACAGGACTTCGATAGGTCCCGCGTTGTTCGTATTGGTCTTCCTGAAAATAGATGGGCAGGTGTCAGGAGTTGACGGGAAAACTGAGAGGAACGTCTGGAGATGCTGGAATGTTAGCATGGTTTCCCCTTCGGTGAGTTTCTTCAGTCCTCTCTTAAGGGTGTCGACAAAGCGTTTAGTTTGCCCATTCGATTGTTGGTGGTAAGGGGCTGTCGTCAGGTGGTGGATCCTATTTTCTTCACATAATTGCTTGAATCGAGCACTTACAAACTGGGTACCGTTGTCCGAAACGAGGGTGTGTGGGATGGCGTATCTTGCGAAAGTTTCTTGCAGAATTTCCAATGTCGCTATAGTAGTTGTACTGCGGGACCCGAAGATTTCCGGCCACTTCGAATAGGCGTCGACCACGACGAGGTAGTGATAACCATCAACTGGACCTGCGTAGCCGGTGTGGATCCTCTCCCACGGTTTCGTTGGTATCGGCCACGATTCAAGGGTAGTCTTATGGGGCGATTTTGCTGCAACAGCACAGGGGTGACACTGGTGCACAAACGTTTCAACATCGTCGTCGATGTTGGGCCAGTAAACGAAACCGGGGTGTCAACGGTGGAGTTGTCGGATGATGCGCTTGCAGAATCGTTCTGGAACTACAACTCTGTCAGCGAACATGACGCAGTCTTGGGTGACCTGGAGGCACTCTAGCTCGCTTACAGTGTTTGGCCAGCCATTGCGGATGTAGTTGATTACCTCTTGTAGGACCGGGTCGTTTGCGTTTCCTTGGAGATCATATCGGATGTGACCGGCAAGCTGGATATTGAGTCTGCGAGAATTGCCTTCACGTCAGATTCCGTTTGGAGAGCAGCAATCACGTATTCCTCGTCTGGTTTGCTGTGACAGCTCATCAAGCGGGACAACACGTCGGCATGTCCAAAACTAGCCGTTGGGATGAGCTGGATGTCGAAATCATACAGCAGCATCGTTAGCGCCCAACGCTGAAGACGATTGGCGGTGTAAACGGGAATGCTGTTCTTGCTGCCGAAAATTTTAAGTAGCGGTTCGTGGTCAGTCTGCAGCACGAATTTTCGTCCGAATATCATCTTGTGAAAACGGGTGACAGCAAATACCAACCGGGTTTGTTTTGTGACGAAAATGCGGCCTTCCTTTGCTACGTCTTGAACGGTGATTTCGGCGTTGAACTCACCCAGGATGTCGATGCTGTCACCTGATGCACTTAAAGCGATGACTTCCCTAGAATTGATGACAGGCTTACCCACGGCAATCCAAGTCTGCTTGGAAATAATGGTGATGTCTGAAGCACAATCGAGCTGCAATGTCGCTGTTTAGCCGTTGATTTCGATCTTGACATACTTCCGGTTCTTCGTTAGGTTGATTCGCTTGACCGAGATACCCTTAGACTTGACGAAGTCTTCAGGTTTCGGTTTATTGACGTTCTTTGCTGGCTTCTTTTCGGATGATGATCAGTAATCTTCCTTGAGGCCCTTCCGCTTGCAGTTCACACAGGTATGAGACTGGTAGGGACACTCCTTCACATAATGTGAATCCCCACGGAACCAGCAAGGCCTTTTTTGGTAATTTCTCCTTCCTACTTGTTAAATGTCGAGATATTGCATTAACGATAGATCTATCTGAGCAACCTTTCTCGATCATCTTCGTATCCTGCTTGAGGTTGCACACCTCAACCAGGTTTTCAAGCTTCAGCGTTGCACCGTCAGCCGGCGGTGCGGTTTCTTCTGCTTTCAGCTTTCCAATCAGCCTGGTCCGGATGTCCGAATCGCGCGGTGACTGGAGACCGCGTACGAACCTGAGCGTCTTGAATTGGTCGCTGGAGAGCTTCTCGATCTGGAACGCTTCACAGTGCTTGTTCACCGACGCTGCATACGGCGAAAAATCAGCAGCGTCGTTTTTGATGTACTGCAAACACTGATAACGTCCGTTGAAGAGGGACTTTTGGCGTCCGAAGAGCTTCTTAAGCTTCTTGACGGTTTCTTCGAACACAAAATCCCGTGGATGATTCGGCAAAACGCTGTTCACGTAGCGTTCGTGGAATTGACCTTAGCTTTATCGTCCAGGTGCTTTCCGTTCTCTTTGAATACTTCCTCGTATCGAGCGTACCACGATTAGAAAAATAGTCCTCCGTCTGGATCATAACGAAACTCGTCAATTCCGGTGGAGAGTGACTCGATGATCTTTTCGCTTCCAACTTGATTGGCGTTGACCTGTTGAAGGGCTCCAATCTGCTGCTGCTGGTTGGCGATCAGTTCCGTCAGCCGGAGAATTGCTTGTTTCGGATCGTTGTCGGACATTCTTGATTTCGTAGTGATTTGAGGGCTTCAACGGTAAAACAGGAAAAGAGCTTGATGTTACTTCCGGAAAATCGCAGGAACTTTACCTCGTCGCCAAAATATTTTGTGTTCTCGAAGAGAAGGAAACAAGTTTTAGGTTTAAGAGCTAATTATATTTCGACTTGTCTCTTCGGTGGTTGGAACTAAACTGACAAAATATTTTCAGTTTGTTACTTTCGTACCATGGCTACAAATCATGGCCTACCAGGCAACATATTTTTCTGATGTGTACGCCGATGGTACACCTGGAAAATTAAAATCAATGCCTCCAAAACTCAAGCAATCATGTTCCTCCACAGGCAATCACCCAAACCGGCTCCATCTTGTACTGTAATCATGGATGACACAAGGGTTGAGTGGTCTGCCGAAGTAACCTATCTCGGCAAGTTGTTCGATGAAAAGCTCCTCTTCCGTTCGCATGTAGATAAAACTGTAGTCAAGTGTTCAGCCTTGGTTAGGTATCTGTATCCGCTGATTTACCGCAGATCTCGCCTCTCAAGGGTGAACAAACTGGCTGTCTACAAACAAATCATAGCACCTGCGATCCTCTACGCAGCTCCGGTGTGGGAATCATGTGCTCAGACTCACAGGAACAAAATCCAGGTCACTCAGAATAGAGTGCTGAGGATGGTCCTTGATTGTCCCTTTGATACAAGAATTTCAGAGCTCCATCAAGAGGCGAACGTTCCAACATTAGATTTCAAAATTGCTGACATTAAGACTAGCTTTGTGCAGAAATGCAATACACCAGAACATGCTTTAATAAGCAATTTGAATATAGTAGGTTAGGTGTATATAGTAGTTGTAGGTTAGTTGTAGTTGTAAATAGTAGTTATAAGTAGTCTTCTTTTTCCAATTTCAAACAAACTAATCCCACCAAGGTGGGAGTTCTCTGAATAGGCCTAATAGGACTAGGAACTTGAATAATAATTTTAAAATTTCAAATGAACTAAAGCATAAAAGATATGTCTGTGACACTTGAGAGTTCAAACATGTAAACCTCACAAATACAAAAAATAAATATCATTTAAAGTAAAGTCATAGTCAATCTTGCTCATCCCATCGATGAACGATGTGACAATCGGTTGCATTTAGCTACATTTCAGCTATACAACAGCAGTAGATCAATCGATTGGATGAAGGGGATTGGGAGCTCTTGCTCTTACTCAACCTTACTCATCGGTGCGTAAAGGTACCCGGAGCAACCGAAAATCACGACACAGACCTCGGATCGAAAGTCGGTTTGCGAGTAAAAACAGTTTTCGGAGATTTGAACGAGTGTGAATTCATGAAAGTGACGAACCTGACACTAATGCACTGGAATAGTGTTGCAGCCGAGAGAAGTGGGGTTAAGGTAAGGTATAAGGGTTCAACTGGAAATGAGGTCTTCTCCATTTTAAATCAAATCTGTACAAACCATGTACGCGGATAGAAATCCCCTTATACATTTTGGCAAATTTCTATTGATGAATATGTTGTTGTATTCATAAATCAATTAATAAGCATAAGCCAAATCTCTAAAACCTGTCCATCATAATGAAGCGATTAGCCTTGAAAGAAAAAGTCATATGAAAGCTGAACATCACTTACCTTCTACATGCGTAAAAATGATTTATACGTATACACATTGACATAAGGACGCTTGGCTGGAGTGTATGCCTAACACTGAAGTAGCCTCGCCTTCAACTAGTCCATATTATTGACACTATATTCGTAGTGTGGTGGATACAAAATACGGAAAACCGGCAACTTAGAATTTTTGAAAAAAAAAATCTGGCACCCCTTGAAAATGCTCAAGCTTTTGCAGAACATTTAACAGGTCAGTATCACTTACAGTTTTATACTGATGACGAAAGAGATGTTTAAACAAAATAACGATAATCTTAAACTTAACTGGTAGGAAAGATGATTAAATAGTATAGTTTGTATCACCTGTGCATAAGGAGTGTCAATGTACGCCGTGAAAACGAAAAATAGTGCGACTAGGAACGCATTGATGAATTGCCACCAAAAATGGTTTAATTTTCGTTAGATTTTAGCTCGATTGGCTCCGGCAAGTGACAGTTCAAATTGGCTCCCGCCATTGTATCCGCCAGACTATGAATGTAGCGGCTATAGCACATACATGTTCCGGTACCTATATGTTCCAGGCAATCACGTTTTTGAATTTGAAATGCGAGATGTCACACTTCTTGCGTGCTCGCTCTCTCCAGGCACACACATGTGTGCTGCTGGGGCCCTATAAATTAAGGCGCTCATACAAACACCACCGTTTGGCTCATATAAATGATCAAGAGCAAGAAGTAGTCGGTTTAATTGAACAGCAACTCAAGCAACTGCATTACGTTAGTGTGCCACGAGAGCTAGGCGACTTCGGACCAAGTGTTTTGTTGAGATTGTGAGGCTTCTTCCTCTCTGCTGTGACAAACTATTGAGAACCGGCTGCGGAGCACGTTGTTTTCCTTCTTTAAACAAACTGAGTTAGTGTTGTGCGTTCCGGCTAAACTAGGTGAATTGATTGTAATCAGTGGATTCTAAGATGGCTGCTGTTACCGAAGGTAATTTAAGGATTATTTTTTAACTTATTCTGAATGGCAATTTCTAATAATTGATCGTTAATTTTGACCTAGTTGGTGGAATCAAGCTCGGCAAGTTGCTGATCGAGGGCAAGACCAAGCAGGTGTACGACGTCCCGTCGATGCCGGGGCACTCGATCCTGTTGAACAAAGATCGCATTACGGCGCACAATGGCGTTCGGTCGCATGACCTTGAAGGAAAGGCACTGATTTCCAACCAAACCAACGCCAAGGTGTTTGGTCTGTTGAATCAGGCCGGTGTGAAGACGGCCTTCGTTCGGATGGTGTCGGATAATGCGTTCTTGGCACGTAAGTGCGATATGGTCCCCATCGAGTGGGTCACCAGAAGGTTGGCCACAGGTTCCTACCTCAAGAGAAATCTCGGCGTGAAGGAGGGATTCCGTTTCTCGCCACCCAAGCAGGAGACTTTCTATAAGGATGATGCCAACGATGACCCCCAGTGGAGCGAGGAGCAGATTGTGTCCACTGGGTTCAAGGTCAATGGAGTGTTGATCGGTGAGTAGACGATAAACTAGCTTTTTTTTTACGTAAATAAGTTTTCGAGAAATAACGGAAAACAAACCCTTGCTACAAACAAATTAAAGTCGGCAAACAAGTTGAAAGGCCGGTCGCTCTTATCAACTGCCTGTAGAAACTTTAACTCGTAAACAGTAGGCAATCAGTAGGCGCTGGCTGATTTGACCCTTGAGCTGAGAAGAGTTTCCATATCAACAAGCCCGCCCGTCCTTCGAAACTGATCGCGTCAGCCTATAATATGCTTTAATCTGGGTTCCCATGGTAACAAACAGCGCTGTTTACTGTTATTGAACATCTCGAACGATCAATCGCTTTGAAGGGAAGAAACCAACCAGCTCAACAAAATTGATACAGATAACAATTTTCCCTTACTGCAATCCAACACAACTGGGATCCAGTGGGGGTCTCATCCATTTCCTTGAAACTTCTTGAATAGGGCTGAAATAATAAACAACAAATAACAAGTTCGATGCATCGGTTATTTGTCCCGTTCCCCCCGATCGTTTGAGAGCGAGAAACAATGTTGCACGTCAGCGATTTGTCAATTGACCGGCCTACTTGCTTTGGTTTTATCAGTTTTGTTTTGGAAAACAGATTGATGTTGTTTCTGGGTTGCGTATCATATTATGATTGGGTTAAGTTCATTAAGTCGTATCTACTGCACGGAGAATGAGAACAACGCAAATTTGAGTTCAGTTAACTCATAAATCATATCCAGTATTTTACAATCGCTTATGGCCGCCACAATCTGCCTGAGTTTCTGGTAGGGAACATAAGATTTTAAGTTTGGCTTGTGTCGTTTGACGTGTAAACGTTCAAATTTGAACGTTTACACGTCAAACGACACAACCCAAACGTCAAATCATATGTTCTCTACCAAAAACTCAGTCAGATTGTGGCGGCCATAAGCGCTCGTAAAATGCTGGATAAAGGGCAGGAACTCAGCGATGAGTAAATTTGCCTAATGTTATCCCAGGGTTTTCCAGGAAAAAAATCCCGAATATGAGAAAAGTAAAGATTGGATTCGCTCAGTCTATTGGTACTACTCCACTGAGTAAAATTTTCGTCAATTCCCTCATTTTTCGGCAGATTTTTGAGGTTTTCCACAGGAAACCATGAGGCAAATTTACTCATCGCTGAGTTACTGCACTTTTGATTATGAGTGAACTAAACTCAAATTTGGGTCGTTCTCATTCGCCGTGTGTTCATCATTCGTTCTATTGACTATGGTATGACAAAACAAAATAGTTTGGATGTCTTCGGCGCACTTATTTCTTGGTTCATAAGGAATAAGTGCGCAGAAGACTCCAAGACGATACAACGTAAATATTCGCGATTACGCTCTTTTGAGGAGTTCAGTTTCAAATGCAAAATACAATATTAATGTTCGCTTAATTAGTTTAGGAAATATGTACCTGTAGGATTTGATGTTTTCTGTTGATACGAAAAGAAGCGGAATAGCGGAATAGGAATACGGGTAACATTTTAAATATAACATAATTGAGGGTGTTAGAAGGAAAGGGGTGTAAGTGACTTTGATCGATTCATGATCATGACTCTTGGACTTGGATAACACTTTAGAATTCAGACCAGGGGTTGAAATGGTTGATGTTTTTACCACACTCGCTTCGTTGTCGTGCGCGACAGTCTGTTTGTATTCATACACTTATGCGCTACCGTGCGTCGTCTCTCTCACACAAACGGTAGAACAATATTCGAGCAAAACTAAAATTATCAAATAACTTTCATATGACATGTGTGATTTTGTTCTAATTCCTCAATTTAGTGTAAATTGAACCACTTTTTATCAGAAATGTTATTATTAGAACATCGTTGCTTGCTAAGATGATGATGATGATAGTGGTTTACCACCCATTGGAAACTAAGTCCGACAGCAGTGGGCTCTCTTCTCTGTTTGTCTTGATCAAGTTTAATAACCTCTGCTTGTCCTCAACATGTCACTGTATGAAGGGCCCACAACGGATTGGGTAGATCGATAGGCAAAGCCGCCTATACGCATCTACGGAACAATAAAGAATCTCCTTCCAATTGGTCAAAAAGACAAGCCCCCAAACAGGAAGATGCCCCAATGAGTGGGAAGAAGAGCCCGCCATTTATCCACGAAATGTTATCAACAGGGAGTTGGCATTCCCACTCTTCCCGTCCAAATCGCTTCAATCGGGTGCCCTGTTGGACCGTCCCTTCCCTTTTATATATGTATTTCGATGTATATACGAGTTGATTGTTATGATTATTGTCAATAATACTTACATTTCTATGAAGATCGTGCTAATTATTTTACCTTTTTTGTGATACTCATCATCACAGAATCCAACCTTGAATCGTAGACCACCACCCGGAATGAAGGCTCGGCGCGGTTAGTGATATCAAACAGTGTTACATGCAAACGAAAAAGAGATACAACCAGGATTAGTTTTTTAAAGTAATAATCATCTCAATACCCAACTAACCATATCTCAGTGACATTGTCTCACTCTGAGCCTACAATAAAAGGTATTTTGTGGTTACTTTGGTACTCACATGAAATGGTTACTTTGGTACTCACATGAAATGTTGTGCAAGTACCACAAGTTCAACATCTCCCAACTATGGACAGCTCAATGTTAATACCATTTACTCTTTGAATCAGCGTACACCAACATGATAATCTTCTAAGAAACACATAAGAATGTATAGAGATAAAGCTCAAAATACAGTTTTAACTGATGGTACTTCATAAACATCAAACTATCCAATATTGGACCTTGCCAACACACGGCGCCTGCGCGGTAATGGGCCGTCAGAATGGTTCATCTGTTGCTAAGTGAAGTGCTTTTCAAACTGAAGCGATACATTTCTCAATTTTTCGACGTTATCCTAACGTATACTTATTATTATCACCCATATGCCCGTCCACGCCCGAAACCCATCCACCACACAAAATCAAATAAAAATGTTTCTGTATGACAAACATGTCCAGACATAAACGAGAATATGGGTGTATATCTTCACTGTAACAACTACGGGTAATCATCGAAAGTACTTGCATTTTACTCAGGCACTTTTGAGCAAATTGCAATCACTCTCTCATACTCAAAATGTGGTACGACCAAATTGGCACAACGACGCCCTATATGCTATCTGACCAAAGTGCAGGGAGGACATCGTTGCTTGATATGTTCAAGAACTAAAACTAAAATACACACATTCGTTAGACCGACAGGTGACAGTGTCGTGTGACATTTTAGTTTGATACCTTGATACTGTACTATGATAGCTTGTTTTGCAAGTGTCGGAGGCGAAGCCAGCCGATTTTTACAGAAAATTAGTCGACTCCGGTGACCGTTTACAAGACTGATTCAGACTCTTTGAAGAAATTTCTGAAGATTTTTGATGAGAATGCCAAATGAGTTTTGAAGAGAATTGTACAGGAATTCATAAACAAATCTAAGGTGAATTCCAACAGGCAATTTTGAGAAGTTTTTCAAGAAAATTGTAAGGAGAACTAAAGCTAAATTCCAAGTTAGTTCTGAAGTGACTATTATCGGAATTATGAATGGAATTCCAAGGAATTGTAAAAGCAGATCTGACGGAATTTTTAGGGATAATTCTAAACGAATTCGGTGGAAATTTCAAAGAATATTAACCCTCCAACAAACTTAATGATTATATAACAAAAATTCTGACATTACCCTCAATAATAACCTTCGCCTGAAAATCTATTAAATGTTAATCAATCAATCAATCGATCAATCAATCTAAGAGAACTCTATGGAGAACTCCAATGGAATATCGATAATAATTCCACTGGAGAGTCTAAATACATAAAGCTTCAAAAATCTAAGAGAATTAATAAGAAATTTGAGGGGTTCCAAGCATATACCAGGATAATTCACAGAAAAATGTCGAACATATTTCCGAAAAAAAAAATATGAGTATTGCGCCAGGAGATTCTGAAGAAACTTCCAATGGAATTCTAAGTAGAATTTCAAAAAAAATTCCAGCAGATATCCCATAAAAGTACTTACGTAATAATTATAGTATCCCACTCGATAGTCCACTTGAGCAGATCAAACAAGACCTGGAAAGCGACGTTAAGGTCAAGACATTTGATCAAAAAGTGATTTATTGCACCAACTGGCTGCGATTTATTCACAGAGGAAAGGTTTGCAAAGGAGTAAGAAGATGCGGACGCTGTACCGAACCGCACGACAATGAGAAAGAATTTGGAAATTGCCAGCGAAACATCAAATGCATTCATTGCATCGCGAATACACACAGCACAGGAAGCGAAGCAAGCACAGAGAAAAAGAGAGAACAACAGATCAAGTCGATAATGTCCAAAAAGAACTACACCTATGTGGAAGCAAGGGAAATGGTGGCAGCAGCAACAGCAAACTACTATGAAGCTCTCAACAACCTCCAGGACTATCCAATGTTGACACAAGTATTGAACAACAACCTATGCCAACAATGGCACCAAACCAACAAAACACGAACGCCAATAACAGCTGCAATTCAAACATACCCAGACAAAAAACCCAACCACCAACAAAAGAGTAGACGTTCGGAAGCCAAATTTGAACAACCCACAAAATGGACGATGGACTCAACGGTGGAAGAAGAAGGATCTTCGTCAGGTGCTCAGACAAACAATACGAAACAGCTAAATGGAACAGGACTAAACAACCCTTGGAAGATTCGAGAATCGGAAAGATGGAACCATATCATCGAAGAAGCCAATCGGAAAGCGGAAATCAATGCGGGGAACAGATACCTATCAGCGGTAATGAGCTTCTATTCGGAGCTCATGCAAGAAGCGAATATGAATGAGCAGTTAGACCAAAAATTTAAGCAATGTGCGATGAAATACTTCAAATTGCAAAACTCAATAGCATGAATAAAGTGAAGAGAAAAATAAATAGTGAATAAAAAATAAAATAAATTAAAAATCGAAGCAACCAAAATAGATAAAAAAA